CGTGGGCGTCACCAGTTGTATTGGTTAAGCAACGAAACCGAAAGATGCGATTTTGCGTCGATTATAGAAAATTGAACACTGTAACTGTCTGAGACAATTATCCATTACCCCGAGTTGATGAACTTTTGGATACTTTGAATGGATCATCTTGGTTCACGTCGTTAGACTTAGCCAGTGAATATTGGCAGGTCGAGATGTTCGAAGATGATAAAAAAAAGACTGCGTTTATTTCACCATACGGACTTTACGAGTTCAACGTTATGCCGTTTGGACTTATGAATGCCCCGGCTACGTTCCAGAGGTTAATGGATCAAATCTTCAGCGACATAAGTGAAAGTTTTGTTGTCATATATCTTGATGATCTTAACATTTTTTCTAGATCGTTTGAAGAACACTTAGATCACTTGAAAGAAGTATTTCTACGATTGAAGCAGGCAGGTTTGAAAATTAAGCCCCAAAAGTGTTATTTCGCCCGTAAAGAATTGAAATTTTTAGGGTATGTTGTAAGCGCGCAAGGAATATCAACTGACCCAGAAAAGATTCAAGCTGTTCAAGAATTTCCTGTTCCTCGAAATTTGAGACAGTTACGTGAATTTTTAGGATTAGTGTCTTACTATCGACGATTTATCCCTGAATTTACAAGGATCGCAGTTCCATTAAATTCGTTGCTACAAAAGAATGTTGGATATCATTGGACATCAATGCATCAAAAAGCTTTTGAGGGATTGAAAGAAAAACTTATCACAGCTCCAGTTTTAGCATACCCGAATTTTTTAAAACCTTTTATCCTTTTTACGGATGCGTCAGATTTAGCGCTAGGCGCTATTCTTTCTCAATTGGATGATGACGGAAAAGAAAGAGTGACCGCTTATGCAAGTCGCTCTTTGACCCCAGCAGAAAAAAATTATTCTGTAACGGAAAAAGAGTGTCTTGCCGTCGTTTGGGCTGTTTCATATTTTAGACCTTATCTTCATGGAGTTCCTTTTACACTTTATACAGATCATTCTGCGTTGAAATCATTATTTTCTCATCAGCTACCCCAGAATCGACTGGCCAGGTGGATCCTGATCTTGCAGGAGTATAGATTTACTACCATCCATAGATCTGGAAAAATACATCTTAACGCCGATAGTCTTTCACAAATTTAAGACAATCGATTTTTTTATTTTTACTCCTATTTGAACTTTGACGATATCGATTTCGGATTATCCAAATTTTGATTAACGAAAACTTTATGGATTTAGATACATATTACTTATTTTTAAGGTACCTTAGCGAGTCTACAGTACCTTCTAGTTATATGAGTGCCCAGATTAGAATTTTGAAGCATAAAACATGTCATTATCTCGCCCGGGAAGGATTATTGTACAAGAAGAACCCCCAGAACCCTCTCAGACCGTTACGAATATTGAAGCTACAAGAAGTTGAACCCATATTATATGCAATGCATTCGGATCCCTTAGCTGGGCATTTCAATAAAGAGGCAACGTACCAGCGAGTTATTACCCGATATTTTTGGCCACAAATGGGAAACGATATTCGGGATTATGTTAAGTCATGTGACTCATATCAAAGAAGGGGAAAACCTGTTACTAGAGAACCTCTT